AGATTTTAAGACTAAACTTCTCAGCCAATTGAAGTCGCCTTAGGAACAGTGGAGGTACACATGTTTCAATTTCTAATGAGTTGATGGGAGTAGAACGCATTGCTCCACAAATTAATCTCAGGCCTATATTCTGTATTACATCCAACTTTCTTAAAAGAGTATTACTAGCATTTATATATGCAAAACAGCTATAGTCAAAATGACTTCTCACTATACTCTTGTATAGCATGCTCATAGATTTAGGATCAGAACCCCAAAATGTTCCAGCTAAGTGTCTTAGAATATTTATTGCTCTCATAGCCTTTGCACTTATATAATTTATGTGTTTATCAAATTTTAGTTGGTTGTCTATAATGATACCTAAAAATTTATGTTCATTAACAACAGGAATTTCTATATTATCATATGAAATTTTTATATTATTTCTATTTCTACTAAAGACTAAAACAGAACTTTTTTCTGGACTAATATCTAGCTTAAGTTTATTGTTATAATAAGAATGTAACTGTTTTAAGGCAGTATTGACATTTTGTTGGGCTACATCCAAATCTTGATTAATGCTATACAAGAGTAGATCATCAGCAAACTGTAGTATATTTACATTTTCAGTATTAACAAATTTGAGTATTTCTGAAGTATACAAATTATACAATAAAGGAGACAGTGTTGCTCCTTGCATTGTTCCTTTATTAGCAACTTTAGGACCATGTAATTTATTATTGTATTTTACATAGACTGTTCTGTTATTTAAGAAGGTGTGAAGCCATTGTAATATTTTTTTTGGCATACCTATATCACATAAAACTTGAACAAGTTCCTCAATGTTGACATTATCAAAAGCACCTTTAATGTCCAAAAAAACACAGATCATGTTAGAATGGCTTAGTTTAACATTTTTAATATCCTGTATAAATGATACAAAACTCTCAGAGCAACTTCTACCTTTTCTAAACCCATGCTGAATAGGAGGAATCAAATTATTGGTTTCTGAGAAATAATCTAGACGTAACTTGAGCATGTTTTCAAATAATTTTCCTAAACAGGATGATAACGATATTGGTCTGTAAGAAGAGGGAATACTGTGTGGTTTATTTGGCTTTAAAACTGGAATGACACATTGAGTTTTCCAAGATTCCGGTACTATACAGTATTGCCACAATTTATTATATATATACAATAAAATCTGTTGTGCATTATTATGTAAATGTTTAACTAATATATATGGTATATTATCAAGTCCTGGTGTTGTGTCTTTCCTGCTTTGTAGTGACTTAGTAAACTCATTAAAAGAAAATGGTTGATTTAGAAAGGAATTTAAAGAATTTTCTTCAGCAATATGGAATAAGCTAAAAATTCTGTTTTCATTGATTTCAGTGGAATCAGACAAATTGTTAATAAAACTTAGAATCCATCCATCTTCAAAATGTTTATTATCAGGACTACCAATTCTTTTAAACTTTTTAATATACTGCCATATCCTAGAAATAGGTGTTAGTCTGTTAAAACTATTGCATAGTTTTTTCCAAGATTCCCTACTTTCTTCTTTTATTACTCGTTTTTTGAGGGCATCTACCTTTTTGTATTCAATAAAGTTATCAATAGATGGATTCATTTTGTAATTCCTTAATGCCTGCCTTGATTTACATATTGCATCATCACATTTTTTATTCCACCAAGGGACTGGTTTTTTATGTAATTGAAGCTGACCATTTCCCTTTTTCCTAGGTATAGTTAGTTCTCTTAAGTCATTTAAAATATTTACAAATTTGTTATACATATCTAGTGGATTTTCATATTCAATATCTATTTCAGAGAAACATGTCTCTGACTGTGAGTAATATCTAACCCAATCAGCTTTACTATAGAGATATTTTTCTTCAACAGGACCAAATTCAAACAGCGATGGTTGGATGTTTAAATGAAGGGAAATTGGATAGTGATAGCTACCCATGGGATCATCCTGGACGTGCCAATTACATAAGTGGGCTATGGAGGGGCTGACAAGTGACAAATCTATGGCAGAAGCATTTCTATTAGGATAAGGACATGTAGTTGGAGTACCATCATTTAAAATACATAATTCAGATTCATCTATTATGTTGAACAAACTATTGCCTCTATTATTGTTACTGTGGCAACCAAAGGCTATATGATGTGCATTAAAATCACCCATGATAATGCAAGGTTTAGGCAATCTATTTACAATGTTTTTTAATTTATTACCTTCAAATCTATTACTATTAGGTGGACAATATACACAGAGAATAGAAATATCACCTGATTGTGTTTTAAGGCTAATGGCTATATTCTGAATACTTTCATGAAACTTTGTATTTAAAATATCATATTTCAAACCATGTTTAACTAGAATACCTACACCATTATGTGTATTTATAGAGTTTTTGTAAATAAAATTATAATTTGAAAAGTTCGGAATATTGGAAGAATTTGTAAGCCAGGTTTCATTTAAGAGACAAATATCAATATCTTTTTCAATTAGTAACTTTTGTAATAAAGGTTTTTTGCTCTGTAAACTTTGTATATTATACTGACATATATGTATATAACTATCCATTAAATTAAGTAACCCAAAAATGTATCCTTTATTTTCTTTGAAGTCAAAGGTGCTTTGTCACGGTCATTGCCTAGAGCTACAAGAGACTTTACAATGGCATTGATAATGATTTCATTATTAGCTATAAAATTAATATCAAAATGGTCTTTATTATTGTTAATATTTGTAAGTGGTGGGTATGTTTGGTCATTTTTGGGTGGGGGAGAACTCACCACAGTGGCATAGTTTTGCTGATTGTACTTCTTCCTTAATTCTTCAATTTTTTGTTTTTTTATGGGGCAGTCTCTTGAAATGGCCAAGTGGTTACCACTGCAGTTAATGCAAACAATTTCTTCGACGTCACACTCCTTGTAAGAATGTTGACCAGCACACGATGAACACATTTGGATGTTTCTACACACTTTAGCAGAGTGATTAAATTTCAAACATTTGAAACATTGTAAGACCGGAGGTACGTACTGGTGTACTTGGTATCTGAATAATTGTATATACGCATACTGAGGCAAGGATGTTGTTGCGAATGTCACGGCAATTGTGGTCAGAGGTGTGAGGGTATCGTTAGATTTTTTCATAAATCGTTTGATAGAGATCACTTCTGCGTCACATACGATGTTTTTATATATCTCCTCGTTCGACATATCTTTAGGGACAAACTTAAGTACGCCGATTTTTTCCGTGAGATAAGATGGTACGAACGCCTTCATTTTATGTTTGTATAAAAAGTCTTCCATTTTTAGGAAATAATTTGCCGAGGAAGCTTTTTTAAAAGAAACTCCAATTTTGTGTGCGTTTACTCTGTGTACGCCAGTTATACCTTTAACATGTTCAGTAAATAATTTCGTCAATGTAATAGGATTTTTATTTCCTATTTTTTCTTGTTCCGTGGACTCAACGTACACGGTGAATTCTCCTGTGTTATTTTCAGAAAAAAGCCTTTTGTAGTTCGGTTTGGTGTAAATTTTATATTTATCATTTTGTTTCTTACTTGTGTCATTGGATATAACTCCATACTTTCTCTTCTTTTTTTCTGCTGCTAGGTCCTCCCCATCGCTGTGGGAACCCATCCTCGACAAACAACAATATTACGATGTTTTTAGTCAACAAAAACCAATAAAAAATTAATTTACTATAACAGGAAATTTTAAAGCTGCCGCTCTATTTGACTTCCCGCCAAAAAGTCCTTATTATATGAATTGACAGCAGTGTTACCAACTACTGTAAATTCATATTAATAAACACCCGGTTTCTGAATTGAGAATCTGAAGTTTAGAACGTCTCAAACCGTGCTTAAACCATTTTAAACGTCATTTAAACAGGTTTTGATTACTGATTTATAATTTTCTTAATTATCATTTGATATCGATTTGATAAAACTAATACTTTTTGCCATATGAAACGTACAAAACTTAAGTTCTTGAGAATAATCAGATGAGATTTTGTACTTTTCCCAATTCAGAAACCGGCCGTTTAACCACTAAAAAGACATATCGAAGTAGTAATATAAAACTAAATATCGCCATAATATTCGCTAAGATGTCGTAACCTATGGTTAGAGTTATGGTTAGAGAGTTAGGCGAATGCACTACTGGATTGGACTTATAAATGCAACAAATTGTATTATAGTGCGAGTCGCTCGGTCTCATTTGTCAATAACGATACAAATCTAAATTGTAATCGCTACCTTTACAGTAAATAACTATCAACCGTCATCGATAAAAAACAGAATGCCTACCAATCGAAAAACTTATTTTGATTAAAAAAGTTTAAAAAAGCGAAGGAGACGGAGAACGAAACAAGTGGAAATCAGAAGACATAAGGTTTGTTGAATACGGTTTTGATGTAAAGTCAACAGTCAACCATTATACTAGACTAGATTTTAAACTTTAATGAATTGGGACTAGAGTTTAACATCACCAGTATAAATTTGATATACAACATGTGTAAGATCACGCGCTGCTGTGCGTACAATATACATTATATTGTGCACGTTCAGTATTTTTATAAGATAGTTTAATTTAGTTTTATGTTTTTTATAAACTTGTAACCTTTTCATAAATACAAAAGTATATCTCTATGTTAAGGGGCATTTAAACGAGGCCAGTAGCTGAGATAATTCAGTAAGTCAGGCCAGCATTGGCCTTGTATAAATGGACCAATCCTCAAGTCAATAATAAAAAATGAGATGGCACGGATTCTAATTGTACTAGACTGGTTTGGTGGATTAGTTACTGGTCTATAGGCTTCGTATAATATAATTGATCCCTTATATAGTAACAGGTCCGATGCAACCTATTGCTGTTCATTATATAAGAGATCATTTGAGCCCTATTTCATTTGGCTACATTTTTTCTAAATAATACTGTCGAAATTTCAAGTTTATGCGATTTTTATATATTAAGCTTTATCTTTATATGTTTATTTTCAGAGTCCAACACCACCCCAATACGTTTTCTGGTACCACAACGATCGGATGATCAACTATGACGCGACCCGCGGCGGCATCACCGTGGAGACAGAGCCGGGTGCACGCACACAGTCGCGTCTTACAGTGCGAGGTGCCACGCTGAAGGACTCCGGCAATTACACCTGCAGTGCTAGCAACACTGAGCCGGCGTCCATACATGTCTTCGTTTCAGAAGGCAGTGAGTATTTCTATCAGGATAACTTTGTTTGTTTCTTCTACAAATCTGATATCGATTTGTACGAACGTACATTGTGGCTGGTTTACACTTATTAAGTTGATAAGTAATTAACTAAAACGTTAATTGAATTATATAATGGTTGTACGTGTTGATATATAGTTAAACCTTATTTTAAGTGATTAAAAATTGAAAGTTATTGATAATATTCAATTGAGATTTCGCACTTTCTCAATTCAGAAACCGGCCGCAAATCACTTACTTGCTATTTACGTGTAAATTAGCAATTAAGGTTTAATGGCGGTTTAACCTCGCATATATGTTCTAAATTTGAAAAGAAGTAATGATAAATAAACAAATGATAATTTTAGAAAAAAGAATTCCACGTTTTTTAAATAAAATTAATTTTAAATTAGAAAAGAATATATTTTAATAATTAAATTTTCAGGTAACAAAATGGCTGCGATCCTGCGGCGCAACACCAGTGCCATACACGGGATAACGTCTAGCGCCACCTGCCTGTTACTATTCGCATCCGTGATGGTGCACTTCGGTCTGCGATGACGGCGGGGTTGAGAAAATGGCGGCTAGACTAAGATGGCGAGCAGTGAACGGCGGAAACCGATTTAAATGTCGAATGTCTGGAAATCTAGATGTAATCTATTCTAAATCTTAATATTTGTTTGTTATCCAGTTTAAATTTAGAACATCTGCTTGATGTTTACATAGCATTACTTTCAAATTTTCAAAGGAGTTGTCAAATCATAGATTCAAACTCTGCGAACTTTGATGCTCTGTAATTGAGAATTTATTTAAACCAAATTTATCTCCATTTTAGTCTCTCCAGGAATGTTTATAACTGATTTCAACAGTATATGTACACGCAATTGCATGTCAGATTACCACGATATTTCAAATTTCAACAATGAATTTTGATCTTTGAAACCTTGAATTAAGGTTTAAAATCGATTGGGAAAATTTGACAGTATTGTATAACCTGATATGCTGTTCACTATACCTCCTATTTATCAATCGCCGTTCACAAAGACGCCAACGATAATTTTTATCATAATTGTTTCTATAAATTAATTAAAACTGTATTATAAGTTAATTGATTTATAACGATATAGTGTATCCGTTAAATTTAAATTAAGTATTATATTAGATAAATCAACTTTAGTGTTAGGACAAAATTGAAATTCATAGATACACATTATAAAACTGGAATTACCGATAATATTTATAAAAACAATAATATAACATGAGAATAAGACAATTTATAATAAAATGAGTATTTTATAGCAGCTTTTATATTTTAACAAAACAAAATTTTCATATTTCATTCTCTTTATATCTGAAATATTTGACAGAAAAATGTAAAAAAATTGCTTTACCTACTCGATTTGTGGTCTGAGTAATATATTATGTGATTATCTAACACTTATTATGTCACTATTTATTTCTGCTTCTTTATTATTTTTTAAGGTTACCAAAATTTAAAATAAGTCAATTAAATAAAATACGTATAATATTACAAACACTGATCTGGTAGAAAATTATAGTTGCCATATTGTGGGCAACGTTTAAATAAATAGCTAAGAAGAAATTTCTCAAATTACCTACACTGTATAAAAAAATCTTCGAAAGTGCATGTTTTTTTTTTTATTTAATAATGTATAATAAGTGTAGGAAATATGAAATAAAATGTTGTATTAAATGCCATATAATTAATTAATTGTACAAAAGAAATAGATTATAAACGCATTTAGGCGATTGATATAACCAGATTAAATAAATCCAATGAAATAAAAAATTAGTAATATGTAAAATCTGAATAGTTATAAAGTTAGTATAACCACCAGGCCTTACTGGTTAGTTCATTATACGATGCAATTGCAGTTGTTAGAGCAAGAAATATACATACACGCGTATAACGGTGTCATATTTTAAGAATGGAGTTGCATCACATAATCTATTGAACTTTTAAGGCCTCTGACTTCGTAACCAAAGGATGAATTTTCTATTCATTTGAAAATTAACGTTAACTTCAATTCATAAAGTTTTTTTAAACTTATCAAAAGCTCATTTAAATAGTAAGCATCGAGAAAGTTGGTATTCGTAGAAGACTTGCCGCGCTCTCGATATTGTTTATTAAATTATGACGTCATAAAGGGATTTAGTTCTATCGTTGTCTTATATTAAATATCTATTTTATTTTTATTTGTTTTTGTTAATTCTGTTAACTCGAACTCGATGTATTGGCGTAAAAAAAAATTGAGCAATAAAAATACTTTTACTAATATTTACTTTTGTACCTGAAAGAAAACCGGAAGGGTTGTCGTGGAGAAATCAAGAAAGTACAGTAGCGACATCTAGTTTGATATCGGGAACTAATTTTTTCTAAAATACTTCCTCAGTGAGGTAGAAGAATACTTCTGCGCTTTAGAGGTCAGTTGTCACTCATAGTATGAATTGGTTTCTTATTTTTATAATAATATATTTTTTTACATTTTTTTCGGTTATGATTGAATAAAGTCAAAAATAAATTTATTTTTCTTTTGAATCAATTGTAAGCTCAATATGTTAACTAAAAAATAAAGCTATAAATATGAAATGAATTTTTTCGAATTAATAATGTTTGAAATGAGTGTCTATGGTCAAACCATAGCGACTTAGCTAAATGTATGTACTTCTGTATACCTATTTGAATTGAGATAATATCTATTATAATAATTAAATTTGTTATTTTGTAAATATAAATTATTGGAATAATTATAAAAAGAAACGTAGATAGTTCCGATATAGTTATTGTAAATAATTTGTCAGTGTTATTGGAATTTATTGTACAAAAATTTTGGTGATCCAGTATGCAATAAATAAATTTCTTCGGAATAAATCAATTTTTATTTATAATCGACAAACCTTTCGCTTCGATTTTCTTGATTTTATATAAATTACATCCCTTTAAGTTGCAGTTGTGATACGCGCAAATTTTGGTAAATTTTTGCAAGCCTTATTTTTCCTTCTTATTTACTGTCTAATAATACCTTATTAGTTTTAATACACTAGAACTTGGTAAAATATCCAATTATTTCTGAGACTAGTAATAGGTACACTGAAATTCATATCATAAGTTTTTCAAAGAAAAACTATAGGTAATAAATTGTATAACAATTTTATTTAAACATATCAATGAGCTTGTGTACTTTGGGTTATGCTTTTAATACAATTTTTTTTTGTTATAAATAAAGTCATTTCTACGGTACATGCAACGGTGGCAAAGCTGTCGCCCTCTAGCGTTTCGAAATTTAAATGAGATTAAGTTTTTTAATCCTGTGTCTAACATATTACACATTTAAAAAAGTTGAACATGTACCTACATCAAATTAAATCAATAAATTGTCAATCCTATTGGATGAAATGTAACTATTTCGAGGTAATTAAGCATAATAAATAACAAATTTTGACATTTAATAAATCGAATTTGTTTTTTTATTATTAATTTCGCATAGCTATCTCAAATATATTTAAAAGAAATGCACCTTCACTGCAATCTATTTGTAATAAACAGTGGTCGGAATTAGGTAGAGTTATTCATGTACTTACACTGATTTCATACAGCGAAAGAATAAAGTGGATATGCCTCAAATCTCGAGATTAATTTTAAAGAGCAGAAAAAATCCAGTAATTTTTTAAATAAAAAGTTATTTACTTTTACATAATTTAAACTACTGCACACACGACGTTGCCAAACTTCCATCAATGACATCGGATGTCCAAAGATGTCCAAGATTGTCCATTGGAAATCCCGGGAAGGTCCACATTAATTGTCCAAAGATGTCCAAGATTGTCCATTAGAAATCCCGGGAAGGTCCACATTAATATCAACATTTCGATGCAAGTACATAAATAACTCTACCTAATTCCGACCTCTGGTAATAAATAACATTGTTATAATTATAGCTCGGGATATGATCCAGTGTGCGATCATTGTCTAATTTAAAAATATACGAACAAATCACTTTTGTATGACAATCATTGTCCCTGAAGTATTTATCCATATGGCAATGCATGACTTAGTATTTCTACTATACTATTTAAACGCCCCTAATTTGACAAGAGTGATACATAGACTAATCGAGTAAATAGGAGATGGGAAGACATACAGCGGCTAGCTGACGTATATCTTCCCATCTCTCTCTTTGCTTTTCCAAATTCTCTGAATATATATATATTGGTTACTATAGAGTATTCTATATCAGTTACATGATTTAACTATATATTAAATTTTATATAACAAAGCAAGAAGTGTACTCTTATCACTATGAACACACTTTTATTATAATACTAGCTGACCCGACAGACTTCGTCCTGTCAAAAAGATTTGTAATGTGGCAGTTTTTTTGCCTACGTATTGTGCTTGTAATTTAATATGAACTTTATACCATAGCAATAAAGCTCAAATTGACTACGTTTTAGTTACAAATCATTTGTATGGGAAAAAGAAAAGGGCTATTTTTAGGGTTTTTCCAGCAATAATTCTAATTTTTCTCGCCGTAAAAACCATCCTTGAACTTCAACGAACATTTTAAAAAAAGATTTGGCCAAATTGGTCGAGGCGTTGTTGAGTTATGCGCTTACCAACACATTTTGCGATTCATTTTTATATATATAGATTAGAAACCATAAAGTATACTTAAAACAACTAATATATAACATGAATATTTAACAAACATTTCAATTCAGTATGTCATTCATATTTTCATAAGAATTATTTAACTATTCAAATCACCTTTACAAAACTACACACAAAAATATCACCGACACTATTTATACTTAAAATTCTAATGAAAAACATTTTCTAAGATACGTCATAGGTAATAATATACCCTACCCTTGTTATTTGATGATAATAAAGAAATATTTGTTAGATAATAAGGAACATTATACAACTGCCCTGCGATTCCGTTAAAATCCGAATCCAAATTCACACATCCGCTTAATCTTGAATAGTGATGATGACTGGGTAAAAAAAATGCAATTCTATTTAGTCCGTCAGTCAGATAATAGAAAAATATTAGATACGTATTTTTTTTTACATCAATTTATCAAGAAATTGCTTAGATAACAGGCAATAAGTTGAGGAGTGGGGGCTCGCTACGTCACAGTTGAGTAGAAAACGTACCCTAACGTGACGTCATGCGAAATTTCAACTCAATGTAACGCCGTAATTTTATGATTACGAAAAAAATAAAAAAGGTACGTGTTTAATATTTTTTAACACTCTACCTGACGGACAAACAAACAAAAATTAGTCATCATCCCTATTATAAAAATAAAAAATAATAAAAATAAAATAATTAAAAAATAATCAATAGAATTGCATCACTAAATGACGTGAATTCAGAAACGAGTGAATTCGAATTCGAGTTCGGATGTTACGGAATCGCTCTGCAGCCCGACGTAGATGGCAGCACTAGCGTATATAGCGAGAAGTAACGAGCTAGTAGTTACGCTCACCATAATTGAATCTCCACATCACCCGAAGGTTGGTAAATAAATAA